CTGAGGATCGAACCCAGGGCTTTGTGCTTGCTAGGCAAGCGTTCTACCTCTGAGCTAAATCCCCAACCCGTTTTTTTTTTTTGTTTGTTTGTTTGTTTGTTTTTGTTTTTTGGTGTTTTTGAGACAGGGTTTCTCTGTGTGGTTTTGGTGCCTGTCCTGGATCTCGCTCTGTAGACCAGGCTGGCCTCAAACTCACAGAGATCCACCTGGCTCTGCCTCCTGCGTGCTGGGATTAAGGGTGTGTGCCACTGCCGCCCGGCCAGTTTCTGTTACTTCGTGAGATAAACAGGATCCCAGCAGGCAGGTACCTTACTACGTAGCTACACCTCCAGCCCCTTGGTGGTGGATTCTCCATCAGGACTCTACGGATGAGCCACGCCCCTGGCCCTATGATGGGCATTGTTGCTATGTAGTCAGGAGCCTATGAGGTTGAGGGAGGGGACCACTGTCCTGGGATTTCATGGGCCAGCCCTGGTGCTTTCCCGGCCTTCACACCTCCTGTTCCAGGGCAGACACACAAGCTCCTGGAAAGTGCAGCCGACTTCCAGTCCAGCCTCTAGCTGGGCCCAGTCTCCGCCAAGCCTCTAACAGGCGAGCTTCCCCCTGTAGGGTAGACTGGATGCTCCTGTACCAAGGCATGGTGGTGCTGGCCGCCAGCCAGGTGTGGTGGACGTGGGAAGTGGAGGACGTCTTCAACAAAGTCAAGAAAGGGGACAAGCAGGCCATGAAGAACTACGGCAAGAAGATGCACGGGCAGATTGATGACCTGGTCACGAGGATCACCATGGAGCTGACCAAAAATGACAGGAAGAAATACAACACCGTCCTCATCATCGATGTCCACGCCCGGGACATCGTGGATTCCTTCATCCGGGGCAGGTGGTTACCTCCCCGGGATCCTGGGATGCTTTACTGTCCCGTCCTTCTGTGGAAGGTCAGACCAGCTCTGACCCCTTCCTTCTCCTCCCCTTCCTCCCCAGCATCCTCGAGGCCCGGGAGTTTGAGTGGGAAAGCCAGCTGCGCTTTTACTGGGACCGCGAGCCGGATGAGCTCAACATCCGCCAGTGCACGGGGACCTTCGGCTACGGCTACGAGTACATGGGCCTGAACGGGAGGCTGGTCATCACACCTCTTACAGACCGCATCTACCTGACGCTCACGCAGGTGACATGCCCCACCCCCCACCCCCGAGACATAGCTCTTTGGTTGACCTAGATGGAGTCTTGGCCCTGAGCTCTAGGAAACATCTTCCATTCTTCCATTTGGAGTCTGATTGTCACTACTGGGGTGGAAAAGCCCGTGCGCATCTTCCCCGGGATGCCGGTTCCACCCTGTAGCTTAGACCCCTGCACAGTGGTCCCTCTGTGGTCGGGGTGGAGTCAGAGGAGGATAGAAAACTGCAGCAATGTGTAAGGTGTATAAGACTAAACTGTATTAGAAGGTGAGCGAGCGAGGGAGGAGGCCATGCCTCCCCTCAGGATGGGGCCGGCGCGTTACCTGTCCGTCATGGGGCAGATTCTTTTGCTTGCGTGGCTAGGAATAGAACCTAGGGTCTCGTACATGCTAAGCAAGTGCTCAGCCGTTGGGCTGCACCAAAGTCTGCACGAAGCGCCCACCTGTGATGGGCCCCTTCGCTCGGCTCACAGCTGAGACTCAGATCCATGCCAGGAGCAGGTTCAACTCCTGCATTGATCTCTACATCACCTGGCTGTACCCGGGGGTACACAAGAGAATGGAAGCGTGAAGCCCATGGCACCCCACTGGACCGGGAGCCAGGGAGCCCTTTGTTTTCCTAAAAAGAAGAAGTGGGCACGTAAGCCATGCATCGTGGCCATGCTTATGATCCTAGTGCTCAGAGGTGGAGGCAGGAGGTTCAAGAGTTCAAAGCCATCCCCAGCTACATGGCAAGTTTTTGGCCAACCTGGGCTACGTGAAGCCCTGTTTCAAAACATGAATGTATAGCTTGAGTGAGGGGTCCAAAGGGATCAATGAGAGACCGAAGCATTTTGTGACTGTGATCACAGGGGCAAGTCAGTGTCTTAGCCGATGGCTGGCCAGCGGGTGAGATGGGGCTGAGGACCTGAGCTACCCACTCTCATTTGGGTCTGAATCCCTGAGGAGTGTCCGAGTTCAAGGCTGCTATCAGAGCTCAAGAGGAGACAGTTTTTTCCCTTCCTTCAGTCTCATCCAGTTCTTGGGGTGGGGGGCTCGATGGTATTGCCTACCCTGGGACGACCATCTGCCTAACTTGGCACACCATCAAGTGCCAGGCTCTGAGATACTCTCACAGACACACCCCGAAGCAACATGAAGAGCTCCTGGCACAGCCAGGCTGACACATGGAGTTGAGTGTCGCCATGCCCGTGCACGTGTCCCAGAGGTGAACCTGGCAGGGGTCCCCTTTCTCCGAACTCGAACATCAAGTATGTTTTGCATTTGGCTGCTCACAGGCACTGTCCATGTATCTGGGAGGTGCCCCGGCTGGCCCAGCGGGAACCGGCAAGACAGAGACCACCAAGGACCTCGCCAAGGCCCTGGGCCTGCTGTGTGTGGTCACCAACTGTGGCGAAGGCATGGATTACAAAGTAAGGCCTCACCCGTCCCTTCCAGTCCCCGATTCCTCCGCAGAGGGCGTCTGGTGTGGACATGGTTGGGAAGTGCGTCACCTGTCTTTGGAAATGACGAGTGGCACCTGGGAAGATGTCGCAGGACACCTTTGGCTCAGCCATGGGACAAGAGTCCTGAACTCAAAGGCTGCTGGGAGCAGGGAGAGAGCATGAATGAGTGAGGGCCAATAGGGAAGGGTGAGGACAGCGGCTAACTCCAATCCTGTACACCCAGTTCTAGAGGGTGCTACTGTTGAGCTTTGGTTCAGTAAGGACACTTGGGACTGTGGACCCACTGTGGCTAGATCTTCCAGCGTTTTAGCAGCTGGCCATCTGGAGTTTATACAAATACACAGTATTTTTATTTATTTGTTTGTTTATTTATTTATTTTTGGTTTTTCGAGACAGGGTTTCTCTGTGTAGCTTTGCGCCATTCCTGGGACTCACTTGGTAGCCCAGGCTGACCTCGAACTCACAGAGATCCGCCTGCCTCTGCCTCCCGAGTGCTGGGATTAAAGGCGTGCACCACCACCGCCCGGCT